CCCCCCCCCCCCCCCCGGGGGCAGGAAGGTTTCCCGGGGAGGCAGCAGCGAGGGGACCCCGCACTCCCTTCCTGCCTGTGCCATCTCCCAGGGCCCCTCCCAGGCCTGCTTCGCAGAGAGGGCAGGCCTCACAGTGTGGGTGAGCCCCACGATGCCCACGCGACCTGAGGCTTTCCCGCCTGGTTCGGGAAAGTTGCGGCCTAATTGAGGGTGGCGATGGCTCTCTCCGCCACCTACATCGTGAGAACTGCTCTGAGCTTATCATGAAACCATGATGCACAAGAAGATCCAAGGAAGTGCCCGAGGTGAACTCACTCAACAGGCATCCGGGTTTGATTGCAGATCAATTTCTCATCAGGTATTTAAGCTCCATCCTGGTCCTCCCCCCATTTCTGGGAAATATATAGATTGTCAATCTCTCTCTCTCTCTCTCTCTCTCTTTCCCTCCTTCTTTTTTTTAAATATGCTTTTTTGATTTCAGAGAGAGGAAGGGAGAGAGGGGTAGAAGCATCAATGATGAGTGAGCATCACCCATCAGCTGCCTCCTGCATGCCCCCTGCTGGGCATCGAGCCCACAACCACGGGGTCATGGAACAGGTGACCTCCTGGTTCCTGGGTAGAAGCTCAAATGCAGAGCCACAGGGGCCGGGCTCTGTCTTTCTAACCGAAGGCTTAGGAAGCTAACCGGCGATCACTAGGAAACTGGGCTCCTTTCTACTTGTTTCAGCTACAGGTGGGGCGGGTGGGTGGAGTAATACGCATGTGAAGAGTTGGTTCCATTTTTACCACTGTACACACACACACAAGTACACATCACCGCATGTAAACACAAGACAACCCAGGCCCACTCCCGGAAAACCGCTACTCTCCTAGAATCTTCCACGAAAAGAACGCATTCACGAGGAGTAAACCTGGAGCTCAGTCTGGGAGCTGCTCGGAAAGAAACACAGATCATGGCTGTACAAACAAACGAATGTAAACATTGTTCACCAGCACAAAAATGAGTCATTCTGAGGGTCAGGATGAGTGGGAGTAGTCTTTTAAAAATGTGTACAGTTATTCTAAACAAAGATAACAAACACTGTAAACTTCACCGATATAGTATGCCTGTGTCTATTTCTATCTAGAAGTAAAAATTCC